ATATAAGTTTTCTGGTCATATATTTGCTCGTCAGCGCTCGTCAACCTGCACGTTATAACTAACTGCAAGCTAAAAAATATTTTAGTCATAATTTCACAGATAAGTTGTTTAAGGTGCATAATTAATCATTCATAACTTCACTAGAATAAACATGGGTACGAGCAATGAAACATACCCCCACATTATGGCACTTATTAGAAAATTAATTTCATGAAAATCTCAAATCAATTTCATTATATATAAGATATCAAAAGTAAGAGTAATTATATGCACATTGAAGAAAAATTCAATATTATTTGTTTGTTCTAGTGAGCATTGACATAAAAGAATTAGGAAATATTGTTAAATAACCAAGAGAGCATCAAACATTAATCTATATTTCCATAGTATGCTTCAACATTAAGTATAGAATAGTATACACACATAACTATTTTATAATTGACAACAGATTCAATCTCATGATGAATCTCACAGCCACATATATAAATATGAACATCAACCGTAAAGTAACTACACGTACCTGCATAGAAGTTTAACATGTTCGCCATTTTGTCTCTTGCTAAAAATCTCAATAATTTCACATGTGTAATCTCTAAGATGAAAACAAAATAACCCATGTTACTTAAAAATGATATATATGGCCCTTTATTTTTTTTTCGCTTTTCTTCTTGTTTCTTTTCTTCTTCCTTTACTTATTACTATATATATATATATATATATATATATATATATATATATATATATATATATATATTGCACATAATGCATGTCATATCAGACTAATGGAAGTCAAAAGTATGAAGTGGTGAAAATACAATAATTCAAGAGAGATATGCAGTTCGCAAACTATTGTCAGGCATGGGACTAAAGTACTTACATGAAATAAATAATATGCAAATGCAAGTAATGTAATAGTCTAGGAATGGAACCATTTCTTGATTAAGAGAAAAGATCAAATTGAATAATCCCGCTTCTCCTCTAGAGAGAATTATCAATAAACTCAGATCTTAAATAATCAAATAACTCATTAGTTTTTCAGTAAGAAATTCTTATGCAAACACAAAGTCAATATATTATAAGTTAAATCACAAAATGCATAACAACTCAAATGCCGACAATCTCATTTGAAATTTTGACAACTACTTAACAATGAAATTCGTTCCCTTTGCCTCAACAATGTCGAGACAACATGCATACAGTAATTATACATATACATGATGATGAACCGATATTTCAATTGCCAAATGAAAACAAAATTCAGTTTCTAGGTCAAACTTCATTTACCCTTTCATAAATTTGTAAATTATACTTTGCAAGAATATGATAAGGTGCAATCAAACTGAAACAGAACTTTTAGTCAATAGCAAACAGGTCTAGTTTTATACTGCAATTTCAAGAATGAGATATTTAAGTGACATTTTTTTCAGTTTCTATATTTTTTTTTTCAAAACACAATGCACATTTAATTTGTTTCAAGACAAAATTATATATGCAGACTCATGCATATTCGGTTTTTATTCGAAAAATAATGAGACTGTGTAGAGACAATGTCTGCAAACACATATAATCGTAACAAGAATTAAAATTGAAAACCTATCTTCAGAAGATCGTTGAAAGAAGAAGCAATCACATCAATTGGTTATTGTGTGCTATACAGATATAAACATTATTTCCTCATAGAATTCAAGCCATACAAATGCAAATTGGAAAATTAAACAAGTAAGGTGTTTATAAAATGCACAGTAAACAAATCCATGCAATTAAAACGTTTTCTGCGTTTGTAGATATGCATATAGGTACCAATTAACAACGCATTCATTCAAAAAATTGTGACTGTAGTGATGATATTTACGGAAAAAATCCAGAGATTCAAATATGCATATAGGTAAACCAATATGCATATATATAAAACTGCATAGAGCATAACTTTTCCCCTTTGACGATATAGAATCTGAAACCCAAATTAACATGTTTTTGTCCAGAATTTTCAGATTCTAAGTCATTGTTTAACATGATCATAACTCAATCAATTCACTACGAAATTTAGCAAATAATATATGGATTTTATAGTACTAGGAAGGATCTACAAGACTACATAATTCTTGTTGGTATTTGATGCCTATATTTACCAGGCAAAAAAAAACTAATGAGTTCAGAAATATTTTTTTTTTCTTCAGATAATTCTAGAGCAAACCCCTGATCTCAATCGTTTAAACCACAATGCTAAGTGAGAGAGAAATAAGATTGCTACAACACTGTAGAAATTAAAACAAGTTTGTCACTCAAAAGTATTAACTAATATAGGATAAACTATACTATTGTATAATAACCACAGATCAATTAATAATGAAAGGTATGGTTGACCTATGCGTAAATAAATGGTTTGGACGAGTCAAAATATCCGAATGGATAAAGATGGGTGTGCACACACAGTTCACGAATTGTATAAAACGTTTCAAGTCACGCTGGTTTTTTTTTTGTGGGTTATAAACTGGTATTTAAATTGATCAGTCGTGTCCCTTAGAAACTGTATCTAAAAGTGTTTTGGTATTGAATAAAATAAAAATGCATAAAGTCAAAAATAATGAAAGAAGGGCACGGTCATGAACAGAAGAGAAAGGTTAGCCTTCCCAGGCTTTCAGCGACACGGCACAAATAATAAAAAAATAAAATAAAAATGCAGAGAGGCAAATTATTAACAGCATAAGTAAAAGGAATATATTGCAGAGAATCAAAGATGCAATCAGTGAAGGGTATGGTTAGCCTTTCCCAGAAAATTCAACAGCATGAAAACTACAATTATTGGACTTTCAAAGCACTGTGAAAACAGATTATAAAAATTTGCAATTATATTATCACACTTATACGGCTTTAGTTGTAGGATAATATAAATGATTATGATCATAATTTACATGTAAATTCAATCAATTAGATAATACCCAAATGCATCAAACACATATATCAATAAATAAAACAGTAAAAAGGAAAAAGTAAAGAATGATATGGCCTGTGATATCAAGAGAGGCGTGTTGTCACTATCCTAAAGTCGTAGACGCCTCCCTACATGTCGGTTATAACGGCTATCTACAACTCCAAGATACAACCCTTGAATTTCACAAAATGTCTAATCCATAAGCACGATTACATGATTACGGTAGACGGGATACCAAGTAGTGATCAATTGCCCATTGATGATCAAGATGAGTAGGAAGATAATAAGAATTATATATGAGTACTGTAGTAGAGAGAGAAGGAAGACATTTTAATCTATGTTAACGTCTTTGTTCTGTTTGAGGAGTTCGCTATTTATTAAACTCTACATACCCCTTAATAAAATACATGACTTCTCTAATGAATATGATTCTTCATATTTTTTATTTAAAATAATAATAAATAAAGTTTTGAATCTTTAAGAAAATAAAATAAATAACCAACACAAAACCATCTTAGTGGACGTAACTGATTTGGTGAACCACTTAAATCTTGTGTTTATGCATTTACATTTTAAGATCATTGCCATGAAAAAAAACACTCCTACTCAACCATAAAAAATCTTCCTATACTTTCTCTGAGAATCCTCAAAAAGAAATCACAAGAAAAAATACCAGAAAACGTATTCAAGCTTACACAATAATATCTCCACAAAACTCACCATCATTTTTATCTAGTTATCAAAAGAAAGATACACAAAAACTTGAAATCGTCATACATGTTCAAAGCACCAAATCTCCATTATCTGCAACTTAGATCAAAATACTTCCTTCATGAAAGTTGTTCGTCTGGCGAACACCTATAACATGTTAGACCTTCAGGAAGATCCAACGGTGCGATTGTTCCAAATGTTTGAAACTCCAACCCAATTTCCAATTCCGCATAAAATCAGACAGCCATGTTTGGAGCTTCAAACCTCCAAATTTCTGTGTTCAAACAGATACACTTCCTTCATAAAAGTTGTTCCTTATCATCTCTTCTATAACTTATCCAAAAATCACGACAACCCAATCTATATGCTAACTTGTACGTCAATTTAAATAGTTGATGTAAGATTGAGCTGGCCTTTTCGGACAGCCTCTTTGTATGGCCAACATGTCTAGTTTATGCTACTCACCTTCATGAAAGAGAGTGAGGTGTGAAAGGTAAGTAAAAAGGGAAAGAATTCAAAAGAAAGAAAGAAACAAGGAAAGAGGGGGGACGGGTTGTAGAAAATAATGAGAACGGAAGGTTCAAAAGAAAGAGAGCAGTGGTGGTGGTTCTTTGGGGGAAACTATATGAAAAGAAGCAAAAGTCATGGGTTGGAACAAATAAGTTGAGTGTTAAGTGGCCAGTTGGTGGACGAGATGAGTGGTGAGGTAAAAAGGAATTAATAATGAAGGGAAGATCTCAAAGGTAAGAAATAAAATATATAATCTTGCTATCAGCTTTCATTAATCTCCCTTACTATTATTTATTCATTCTATTTGTGTGTTTCATGTGTTTGACTGTTTATAAATTTATTATATAGCATGTAATTATTGACGCTGATGTTGCTATACATATGCATAAGCATTGCAAAGCAAGAAACAAATGTTGTGTTCAAGTCCTTAGCGGTGCGTTTGTTGCACCGGACTGTCTCGGACTGGACTAGCTGCAGGGACTAAGCTGGACTGGCTTAGACTAGACTAAGTTGGACTAACTTAGTGAAGCGTTTGGTGCAGTGTTGGACTAAGAAGCAGGATAATGAAAACAGTACTGTTCACCAGATTTGTGTTTGCTTAGACTAGAACTACATTATTGTTCTATTTTAATAGCTCAAAAACCTGTGCCCAACACCCTAAAATTTTTGCCATTGTGTAATAGAATAATGCTACAAATCTCATGATCTGGGTTAATTGGAGCATATTTTTACCATGTATATTATGAATCTTAAAAATAGAGAACAATTGTTTTGTTTTTAGTACCTGCTAATATAAATGAAAAGATAAATACATATCCTAATTCAAATGAAAATTGGGCTTGGTGTATAAAACGGTTTTACCACTTATTTTCCCTCCAATATTTTGTCTAGTTACAAAAACAATCTCAATTCTCTTAGAACACAGAGCAGGCTCTACAAGTATTCCAAGTTTAAACAAGAAAACAAGAAACAAATCAAGAGGTACAAAAAGGGCCAAAAAATTTCATCGAGCTACATATGTTTTTATTTTTGTTTTTATTTTACAAAAGTCATATTACGGGAGGGAGATACACAAACACAGAACTTCGAGGGTAAACTGGCTTAACCACTATTAAAGGAGGCAGTACAACTAGAAGTCCCTTCCATCTCCATTTTCTTTAGATTGAAATGTTTTTGGGATTAACCCAAAAAACTCACATGGATTTCTACCCATATGCTTTTAAACGGAATTTTTTTTGGGGATTGGACCAAATTAATATTGTTATAAATATTTGTTACAGGGGGACCAAGCATCAATTGTTGGGGGTGCCATAAACTTTGTGAAGGAGCTAGAGCAGATTTTTCAGTCCATGAACAGCAACAAGAGGAGCAAGCAACAGCCTTTGGCTGACTTCTTCACCTTCCCACAATTTTCAACTCGTGCAACACAAAATAACAACTCAGCAGGGGTCCAAGCAAATGAGTCGAATACGACTCAGTGTAACAACAACCAATGGGCAGTAGCAGACATAGAAGTGACCATGGTATGGTCCCGAGGGTAACTGGCTCTTGGACTAAATCTGGAGAGAAAGAAGATCTCCATAATTTACAAAATGCCATTTAACTATAGTATAGCATTCCAAAGTAGATCTCCATAATTTACAAAATCCTACCTAATGCCTCTAGTTCATTTCATGAAATGTCAGAGACAATACTTAGAGAAAAAGAGAACCATGTTATTCTTTCTATTTGAATGACATCCCTTATCAAGTAAACATGTTCTTGTACTGTTAACACAACAACATCATAAATACGCCAATCCTTTGTCAACTTCACAACATCAACTATGGAAATGGTACATTAAATTACAATCTTAAGGTAGCAATCATAGTGCATATAGACTTCACTATGAACAATCAGTTTGTGTGATAAAAACCACAAGAAGACCGCCTCCTTTATTGAAATTGCTATCTAGGAAAAAAACTTGTAGTTCAAACTTATTCATCGGAAACATAGCATTCAACAGGAAAAGAAGCTATTGTCATCCAATTAAACATAGTTCAAACTTGTAGTACACTCCTTTGAAGATATTGTCATCCAATTAAACATGTAGGACACTGGAATTGGGGATCTTTACCACCTAATTACAGAAGTGTATTTCTAAAGTTAAATTCATACGATCAAATATCAAACAGCCATGAAGTTTTACAAAATGGTGGGTCCTTTTTTATATTGCCTAAACAGTTTGGTTTTTCTATAATATCACAGAAGTCATATTCACAGAGATGCAACACAAACTTTCACACATCCAAGGACTACATTCAATAGATCCATGTCGAAAATTGATCTATGGGTTTAGGAATTATACCTTCTTCTAGACTTGAGGGTTTTCAGTCGTTTGCTACTTGTTTTCCCTTGGGTTCTGAGCACTGGCCACTTCCGTTTATGCTCCTCTTCTCTGCAACCAACAACCACAGAATATTGCAGTTCAGCATCAACCCCACACGGTACAAAACATTCACATTGTAATATCATGGTTGGGCATTGACAGGACATATGGAATTGCTTCCTGCCTATCTCCAATGCCATTCAAACAAGGTGGTCCGAGGAAGGTAAAAGGAAATCAAAAAATGCAGAAACAAAACCAAACAGAGGATACGACTTCGAACATAACCACAAACCAGATTCTTTCATCACTTGTCACGTGAGATATAGCAAGGCTTAGTTGTAAAGCCATGGTCGTAAGGCTTAATTATAAAGCCATCATAGTTAACAAGTAGTATTTTCCTGTGAATGAACAGAGTTGTGAGTGTTTTTTATTCACTTTAAAAGGAGGGGTGGGCGGGAGGTGGGTATATGAATACAAATGCATTCAGGATGCATGCTAGTTAACCCTCCTACCATATAGAAAGTCCAAAGTATGAAAGGACACGAAATTTTCAGATTAGCTGCTTATAAGAACAACTATGGAAATTCATTGGGTGCACGTTATAACTCGACTTGTATGCAATTGCACCCACTTTCATATACTTCCCAGTGGCACAAAGGTAGAGTAAATTTTATGCCAACTAAAAATGTCTAATTCTTGGCCCATGCACCAGTAAAGACAATCCTTTCACTAGTCATCTCTCCTTGTTATCAGAAGAAATCTTTACGCCTCTCCCAGAGAATCAAACAAACAAATAAAATGAGACCAAAGACGAAAATTCTTGCAAAAGTTTCTCTAAAAGCTGAATGAAGATATTCCAGAGTTTCCACTGTAATCCAAACTCCATAAGCCCTATAAAATAGGTCAGGATTTTAATGTCAAACATGCCTGGTAATACAGATCTCCTTATATATGCCTTCAGACTAACACCTAAGTTTCTCAGAATCTCATACAAAGAGTGCATAACAAAAATTTCTTCAACTCACATAAATTCTCATCCAAACAATTCACAAAAATCCAACCCTACATGAAATTTAATAAAATAAAAAAGCGAAACTAGTAAAGATTCATGAACTAAGAACATAAAAACGAAAAACCACACAGATTTATGCTAATATAACAGAGATGGAAGTATGTGTTCCTTCTGCAAAAGAAACTTGTCAATTTTATGGCCAAGCATGGTTTCTGAGTTCGGATTTGAAAGAAAAGTTGAAATATGAAAACCCCAAATTCATCAAGGTGACTGTGGTAGAACTTGTTGGTGAAGACATTATCAAAATCTTCTAACACAATTCCAGAGGTCAGAGAGTTCTGTTACGAGTAAAAAAGCTATTGAGAGTTCCATGAAATCAACAATGAAAAACGATTTCTATTTTCTTGAGCATTCAATATCTACAAAGAGAACAAAAAGCTAAATAAAAGGAAAATATGCATAAATATACGGCCCAGGAACAACACTACCCAAAAAAAAAAAAAAAAATTAATCCTTCCTTAGTTCAAGGTTGTGTGGATTCAATAAAATAAAACTTCCACATGGAATGAGACATCCAATACCTCCGGATGATGAATGCGCTAGGGATAAATTCAAGGGGACATTGCACAAGAGTAGTTTATGTTGCTATCAAACCAAAGTTCTCTTTAAATCACAAATTCATCATTTTTTTTAATGAATTATGCACCTACTTTTTACGGGAGAGGTGTGGCTATCAAACCCTAGGCCAGCTACAACATTACATGCTCTTTGTTGATGTAATCATGTAGATGAAGGAAGTCAGAATTAAAAATTAACTGAAAAGAGTAAGGGACTGTACTGTTACATACCTTTCTTAAAAAAGTCATCAAGGAGGATGGAGGTATCCCAGGATTTGAAGCGTTTGCAGACGAGATCGTAATGTTTTCAGACTTGACTGAATCTTGGGCACGCCTCACAGCATCCAATGTCTCATTTGTGGAAGATGAAACCTACAAATAACACCTTGAGAAATATAACCATACTGAATGGAGGGGCACTTTATGATAATAAAGATGAGAGTCTCTATTTGATCTTCCCAACAGTTTCTTCTACTGTAGGTTTCACAGAAGGCAAATTTGGAATAAATGTAACCACACCAAATGTGAAGGCACTTAATGATAATAAAGAAGAGAGATCTTTCTGTTATCTTCCCAAGAGCTTCTTCTAATGTAGATTTCATAGAGGGAAAATTCAGAATTTGCATATTATTGCATTCCATCAATGATCTAGTCAATTGTGAATGAATGGAGATCAGACCGTGGAAAGGGAAAACCATCATCGACCAATGACGAGAACAAAAAGTTCATGTATTTCTATTATGATATAAAGACTGAATTTTAGACATGCACAGAGAAAACCGTACGGAATCTTATCACCCAACTTCTTCCACAATCATACATAAAGTATTTCACTTGTGCCAGATATGAAAGCAGTTATATTATCCAAGATACAATTCCAAGGCAGAGTTGCAGAAGTTACTAGTATGTGCGTAAAATTTGAATTGCAGGGAACAAGTTTTCTCACCCCAGTTGTATGAACATCAAAACCCTAATTTGTTCAAGTGCAGAGGTCTATGAATGAAAATTTCTCAAACCCATAACAACAAAATCAAATAAAGGTCAGTAACATCATGATCTGCAAACAAATCGAAGAAATAAATCGAAGTTTCGAAGTTTACCTGACAACTTCGAGCAGATAAGAGCGAGCAGATGCAGATGAGGGAAGACGCAGAGATGAGGGTCAGGACGACGACGATGAGGGAGGCAAGGTTGACGATGAAGGAAGACGCAGAGATGAGGACCAGCGACTCTCTCTATCAGAACGGCGAAGGGCTTACAAGTCCGCCCGAAATTGGGGATCCCCGTTAAGAACGCGTAAGGAGGTCTTTAATCCGAGCGAGTCCGACCTAAGCTCATTAAACCTAATCCTGGAGCACACCAAACAACGGACTACAGTCTAGTCCAGTCCAATCTTGTCTAATCCGGTCAAACAAACGGGCCCTAGTTGTGTTAAGTGGTCTAAAGTGTGGAGTTGAGTATGTATTTAAGGGCTGAAGGATGCCTCGAATATAAAATAATAAAATTTTGTATATGTCAAACGTCGGGAAAATGGCTTGAGCATAAATTAGGCGTCACGGGAAGTGCCTATATAATAGTGGAAATTGAGAATTTATTATAAAAATTGGGCTTAAGGGATGAACAACACTCACACTCTAAGATATTTGGAACCAAGTGGTATAAGGATGGTATGAGATGTGGAGGATTGAGTGTCTTAGGTATGTATTGGTGGGATTAAAAGTGAGTACATTCATGCATCTCATTTTATGTGGCAGTAGGCACATGATTTGGTAATATGCCAATTTGTCCACCATTGGTAGATAAAATAATTTCTTTCACTTTCGAATCCCAATTAATTCGATTTAGGGTTAGTACACAAAGATTTAAGGTCATTTCTTCAATTTACTCTCCATTTCTAAGTTCCTAAGGTCGTAGCTTTAGCAGTAACTTCATCGATGTTACCTACCAAATAAAAGGCCTGCTCAGGAAGGCCGTCTAATTCTCCAGAAAGGATCAATTTAAACCCTTTGTTTCTGCTAGACCAACATATTTTCCTAAGGAACCAGTAAATACTTCTGCTACAAAAAAAGGTTGTGATAAGAAACGCTCAAATTTTCGTGCTCTTGCTATGGTTAAGCGATCCTCTTCGGATAATTTGCCCAACCCAAAGATAGCTATAAATGTCTTGAAGTTCTTTGTAATGTTGTAAAGTTTCTTTGACCCTTTGCGCAGTTTCATAATGTTCTTCACCGACAGTACGAGGTTAGAGCATGGTTGATGTTGAATCTAAAGGATCTACTGCTGGATAGATACCTTTGACAGCTAATCCTCTTGATAGTATGGTAGTAGCATCTAAATGTGCAAATGTCATGGCCGGAGCAGGATCTTTCAAATCGTCCGCAGGTACATAAACTACTGGAATATAAGTTATAGATCCCTCTTGCTAGAAGTAATTCTTTCTTGTAAAGTACCCATTTCAGTAGTAAGGGTGGGTTTACATTTCAATTATTATTTTGTTGGTACTTTTAGTTGTTGGTTGTGAGTCCTTTATTAGGGAGGTTTTGTTTATAAAGTTAATTATTTGTTTCCTTATTCAATAAGGATTGTATAGGATTGTATATGTATATATTTCAAAGAAAGTAATAGGTGGGATTATTCTTGTCAAATTCTATTTGGTATCAGAGCCTAGCCATAACCCTAGTTCCTCTCGTAACCCTTTGTTTTCCCGTAACCCTATTTTTTTCTTTCCTTCCGCCGGACTGGTTCTGCCCTTCTTCCCGCAGACCTCAGTTCGCTTGAGTGGGGGTAGTAGTGCCATGTGTATTGCAGTGTGGTGGGACACTGTTTTTCAACGTGCAGTTTTCTCTGATTTGTTCCCGACGGTAATATGGCATCTGCGGAAGGTAGTGGTGTTTTGAAATTGGAAGGAAGTGCTCGTACCGTGAATCCTATTGTTCTTCAGCATGATGTATCTGCTGTACCTAACACCGTGAAATTGAATGGATCAAATTATCCGCTTTGGTCCAAGGTTTTAGAGATGCACATCGCTGGAAGAGGTAGGAAGGGTTTTGTGACTGGGAGTATCAAGGAGCCTGCTGAGGAGAGTGCTGACTATGAGACATGGGAGACAGGGAATGCAATCGTAAAAGGGTGGTTGATCAATTCCATGGAACCTGCTATCATGGGATTTTTTATTCACCTGCGTACTGCTAAAGAAGTTTGGGAAGAGGTGGCTCGGACCTATTATGATGGTTCGGATATTTCCCAAATTTATGAATTGAAGGTTAAATCTTTCCGACTTCGTCAAGAAGGTCGGCAAGTTGGTGTGTATTATGCGGATCTCAAGTCCGTTTGGCAGGAGTTAGATCAAAGGAGACCCATCAAGATGGAATGTGCTGTGGATTTCAAAACCCTTCGGGAAGAAATTCAACTTGACCGTGTGTATGCTTTTTTGGCGGGTTTGGATGATGTCTTTGATAAAGTGCGTAGTGATATTTTACGTACTCAGCCACTACCATCTGTTGAGGAGGTGTTTTCTGTTGTTCGGCGTGAAGCTCAACGACATGCCACTATGATGGGTGGTAATAACAATCAAGGAGGGGTGCCGTCCCTGGCTATGATTTCTCGGCTAGCTGGTGCTTCTCGCTCTAATAATTCTTCTAATCAATCTTTAAATTCTCGTGCTTTCAACCGAGAAAATAAAGATGATTTGAAGTGTACTTTCTGTGGACAAACTCGTCATACTGAGGATACGTGCTTTACTAAGCATGGAGTGCCTGATTGGTTTCCGGAATTAAAGAAAAAATTACGTGCCAAAGAGCGTGGAGCAGTAGGTTCCAGTGGAGGTCGTGCCTCCCTTGCTGCGGCAACACCAACAGCCCAGGAGGTCGTGCTTTGTTCTAGTGATCCTCGTCACAACTTATTGACTCGTACTAGGGGTGACTCGTCTGCCGACACAGGTACCGTGGGACGTGTTCTCTTAGCCTCCGAAACTCAGCACCATACAGGTTGGATTCTGGACTCTGGGGCAACGGATCACATGACATATGATAAAAATATATTCCAATATATGACTACATCTCACCGGAAAAATATATCAACTGCCAATGGTACTCTGGCACCTGTGTGTGGTGCCGGCACTGTGCATCTCACTCCGTCACTTCCCTTACATCATTGCTTGCTTGTTCCTTCTTTATCCCATCATCTGTTATCCATACCACAGGTTACTGAACAATTGGATTGTGTTGTTCTAATCTATCCGTCCTTTTGTCTACTTCAGGATATTCAGACCAAGGAGATAATTGGGCGTGGCACTAAGAGAGAGGGGTTGTACTATGTGGACGACGTCGCTACTGGCAGAGCTCATGCTGTTCGCGCGTCACAATCTAGTAATTTACAAGAAGTGTGGTTGTTGCATCGTCGGTTAGGACATGCATCTTTTGGGTACTTACGGCATTTGTTACCTAGTCTCTTTAGTGGAATAAATGAATCAGACTTACATTGTGAAGTATGTATTCTTGCTAAAAGCCATCGTGCTTCGTTTCCTCCTAGTATGAATAAAAGAGCTTTACCGTTTGAACTTGTGCACTCTGATGTTTGGGGTCCCTCTCCTATTGTTCCTTCTTCTGGAATTCGGTGGTTTGTTACGTTTGTTGATGATTGCACCCGTATGACGTGGTTATATGTCTTAAAAAATAAAAGTGATGTGAGTATGGTTTTCCGATCGTTTTCTCAGATGATTCGGACTCAATATTCATCTATAATTAAAGTTCTCCGTTCTGATAATGGTGGTGAGTATATTAATCGTGAGTTGTCGGAGTTTCTTTGTGATCAAGGCATTCTCCATGAAACGACCTGTTCCCATACTCCCCAGCAAAATGGGGTGGCTGAACGAAAAAATCGCCATATCCTAGAAACAGGTCGTGCTCTCCTTCTGGGCGCCTCTATTCCTAAGGTTTTTTGGCCAGCTGCTGTTACTTATGTTGTTTATGTAATAAATCGTATGCCCTCTCGGGTGATTGATTTTCAAACTCCTCTTCAAGTCCTCACTCAACATGTACCGATGGTGTCTACTCTTACTCTCACCCCCCGGGTATTTGGGTGTGTGGTATATGTGCATATTCACAAGATTCATCGTACTAAGTTGGATCCCTGTGCCCTCCGGTGTGTCTTTGTTGGTTTTTCGTCTCACCAAAAAGGGTATCAGTGTTATCATCCCGAAACTCGCCATCTGTATGTTACCATGGATGTGACGTTTTCTGAGTCAGAATTGTTTTATGCTCCCGTATCTTCATCTTCCGATCACCAGGGGGAGAACACTTGTGGTGATCTTGGATGGTTGGACCTAGAGAGAAATACTATGGTAGAGCCGCCACTTCCTCCCAGAGTACCTGCTGTCGAGCTTCATGAGACTCAGGAACATACTACTATTGCAGAAACTGCTGCAGTACCTTCAGCAACCCCACGGCAGGAACATACTACTATTGCAGAAACTGCTGCAGTACCTTCAGCAACCCCACGGCAACAGATTGTCGTGCCATCAGAACAACCACAGTCGTTCCTTACCGATTCTGCTACTGCTACCGTACCCCCCCTCTCTCTAGCTATACTATGCTGCCCAATGAATCTTCTCTGGATATACCTGAGGTAAGTATTGAGGATGCTTATGTAACTGATGCAAGTAATGATGTAAATACATATATACTGCCACCGAGACACAATCGGGGTGTACCACCTGACAGGTTTTCTCCGGAAGGTAAAGTGAAGTATCCAATAGCCAACTATGTCTCATGCAATGGTCTTGCATCAGAGCGCAAGATTTTGGTGGACAATATGGAGGCTATTCAGGTACCAACCCGTGTGGAGGAGGCTCTAAAGGATCCGAAGTGGGCAAATGCAATGGATGAAGAAATGTTGGCATTACAGAAGAATAATACCTGGGAGGTGACGTCATTACCAGAAGGGAAGAAAACAGTTGGATGTCGGTGGGTGTTTACTGTCAAATACCAAGCTGATGGATCAATAGATAGGTACAAAGCAAGGTTGGTAGCTAAAGGATACACCCAAACTTATGGTGTAGATTATCAGGAAACGTTCTCACCGGTTGCTAAGATGAATACGGTACGTGTTCTGATATCTTTAGCTGCTAATATGGACTGGCCATTAAAACAGTTTGATGTGAAAAATGCTTTTCTCCATGGGAACTTGGAGGAAGAAGTATATATGGATTTTCCTCCTGGGTACAGTGTTGGTAGAAATACCGGAGTATGTCTGTTGCGTAAGTCTCTTTATGGACTTAAGCAATCACCTCGTGCATGGTTTGATAGGTTTACTCAAGTTATGAAAAGGATTGGATATTATCAGAGTCATTCTGATCATACATTGTTTGTTAAACGAAGACAGGAAAAAGTGACAGCTTTAA